CAGGTACGGCCTCCCAAAGTGCTGGGATTACAGACTGAGCCATCAAGTCCAACCAACAAACTTTTTATGATTTAGATCTTAACCAAATTTGGGCTCTCATTACAGTTCTAACCTTGTGGGCTTTTATTAATGTCACAGGGCGGTTTCATAGCTTCTTCCCCTCCTCTAATCTGACCCTAGAAGCCTGCTCTTTAGGCTCATAGATGTCTTCAAAGAAGACTGGGTTTCATAACCTTGACTACTTTGCCAGATGTATTGCAACAGTGAGCTGCCTCTTGTCTCCTGGCAATCCCTACTGGTCAAAGGATGGAAATCTTGGGGCTTAAGAGCCACTCAAAGAAGTAGGGTCTTTGGTTCATGCAAGACCTCAGTTTCTACCACTCCCACCCGTGGCCAGCAAGCCCTCAACAAGACACTTTATGTAAGGTCTTCATCTTTTCTTATGAGATCTGGTTATCTGCTCTATGAGGATTGTCCATGTGCTTAGACTTTAAAATGGTATAAGAAATTCCCTGGGCTCGCAAGTTCGAGACCCACCTAGGCAACCTGGAGAGACCTCATCTCTACAATAAAATAAAAAAATCAGCCAGGCATGGTAGCGCGTGCCTGTAATTCCGGCTACTCGGAAGGCTGAGGTGGAAGGATCGCTGGAGCCTAGCAGGTCAAGGCTGCAGTGGCCGATAGCGGCCACTGCACTCCAGTTTGGGTGACAGAGTGAGACTCCAACTCAAAAAAAAAAATGGTATAAGAAAGTTTACTGTTTTGTTTTGTTTTGTTTTTTGCATTGGAGTCTCACTCCATCAGTCAGACTAGAGTGCTATGGCACGCTTCCGGCCACCGCAGCCTTGACCTGCTGGGCTCCGGTGATCCTTCCACCTCAGCCTTCCAAATAGCTGGAACTACAGGTGCGTGCTACCACGCCCGGCTAATTTTTTATTTATTGTAGAGACAAGGTCTCACCAAGTTGCTTGGGCAGGTCTCGAACCCACGGGCTCAGGCAATCCACTAGCCTCAGCCTCCCAAAGTGCTGGGATTACAGGCTGAGCCACCGAGCCCGGCCAGAAATGTTACTGTTATAAGAACTGAGAGACTGAATACAAAAATGGATAATAGCCAGACCATATATGACAATAGAATTCTAACTCACAAACTCCAAAGCAACCTGTCAAGGAAGCCAAACCACAACCAAACCTCTGAGGCACTTGGTCAAGAACGGTCAGGACTTGGTTATGACTGTCTATTTTTTGCATCCCTTCCCCATCCAATCAGGACCAAAAAAGTCAAATATGCTTCCCAAACCAATGATATAAGATGTCCTGCTTCTAGTTAGCCCACCTCCAGCTTCCCCAAGCCAAAAACCTCCAGTAAGGACATACCTGATACCTGACCCTTTTCCTTGTTTTCCACTATGAAACTTTTCCACTCCCTGTCTGTCTTTGAGTCTCTGCCAAATGCAGGTGATGGTGGCTGACTCCCCTGGTATAGCCAGCTCTGAATAAGTAGCCTCTGTTCTCATCTGAGTGATCTTCACTTATTTTCACAGAACTCTCTAGCATTCCTGTGGATGCATATTTCCTTCTGACCAGTTCCATGCAAAGCACAGGGGTTAATTCAAGCAAAGTGGATCCTGCAGTGCTGGAGGCCAAGGAGGACAGAAAATTAAGACTCAGAGATTCTGCCAACATTGAAAAGCTGATTTGCGGGATGAGCCACTGAGCCGGGCTCCGTGTCTCAGCCTGTAATCCCATGCTTTGGGAGGCCGAGGTGAGTGGATTGCCTGAGCCCGCGGGTTCGAGACCCGCCTGGGCAACTTGGCGAGACCTCATCTCTACAATAAATCAAAAAATGAGCCAGGTGTGGTAGCGTGCGCCTGTAGTTCCAGCTACTTGGAAGGCTGAGGCGGAAGGATCTCCAGAGCCCAGCAGGTCAAGGCTGCAGTGGCTGGGAGGGTGCCACTGCACTCCAGTCTGGGTGACAGAGTGAGACTCCAACTCAAAAAAAAAAAGAAAGAAAAGGAAAGCTGGTTTGCACTAGTTGAACCATAAGCCTAGAAGGGCAGTTAAGCATTCCGGGCAGTATTTGGACACTAAGAATTCAGACTGAGAGTTTGGTTAAAAACAGATTCTAGACCAAGTGCAGTGGCTCACACCTATAATCCCAACACTTTGGGAGACTGAGGCGGAACGACTGCCTGAGCCCAGGAGTTCGAGACCAGCTTAGGCAACATAGCAAGACCTCGACGCTACAAAAAAATACAAAAATTAGCTGGACATGGTATGCGTGCCTGTAGTCCAAGCTCCTAGGGAGACTGAGGTAGAAGTATCACCTGAGTCTAAGAATCAAGGGCTTGCCTGAACCCGCGGATTCGAGACCAGCCTGGGCAACATGGTGAGACCTTGTCTCTACAATAAAATCAAATTTTAAAAAATTGTCCGGCATGGTAGCACGTGCCTGTAGTTTTGTCTACCTAAGACTAAGATGGAAGGATCACTGGATCCCAGCAGTTCGACCCTGGGGTGGCCGTGAGCATGCCACTGCACTCCAGCCTGAACGATGAGAGACTCCAACTAAAAAAAAAAAAAAAAAAGAATCAAGATTGCAATAAACTGAAATTGTGCCACTGCACTCCAGCCTGGGCAACAGAGTGAGCCTCTGACTCAAAAATAAATAAATAAACAAACAAACAAATAAATAAATATTTTAAAAATAATTTAATAAGCCGGGCTCGGTGGCTCAGCCTGTAATCCCACGCCTTTGGGAGGCTGAGGTGAGTGGATTGCCTGAGCCTGCGGG